TGTCATCCAGGCGAGTGCGCACGTTCAGAAGTGTTGCCTCCGTTGTGACCAGGAGAGCATCTCCTGTTGCTGCATTTACATGTGGTGAAGACGGTCCGTCTCACAGCCGGAGAGAGACGGGGAATTCCTACTGAAACAGATTTTGGTGTACACAGAAACGCGACCTTTTCTGAAGCACTTCCGCATTGATCTCCTTCTCTTTTCGTCCTCCTTTTGTGAGCAATGTCAAGAAAGTTCTTGTTCCCAGCGAGCGCTCCCCCGCAGCTTCCCCGGTCGGCTCGATGTGAGGCTGGACTGAGAGGTTTGTCCCTTGCTATTGATCGGTTAGAGCGAAAACCCCTTCTAACAAGAAATTGGCTGACTTGAACTCCGAGCCGGGCGGAATGAAATGAGTGCACCGACGGTTCGGCCCGGCGATCAGGACAGCGGCACTCCGCCTCTCTGATCTCTGTCAGACCCTCTGACTTTTTTGTGAGTGTGTTGTTGATACGCGATCAATAGGGGCCACCTTTTTGTCTGGTGGCTGGAGGTGGGGGCCGCACCCCACGGCCCTCTATCTGCCAGCCGCCACTGATATGTGCCTTAGTGCCAATAATCAGAACAGCATTTCGTCTTTGGCTCCAAAGTCCTCGTCTCCTTGGCTGCTCAGGTCGAATACTTGAACAGCTCCAAAAAAAAAAAGAAAAAGAAATTGCACTTCTAGCGTGTCCGCAATCACCTGATGAATTGCTGCTTTTAATGAGTTGATTAACCTTCGAGGATTTATGTTTTTCATCTTTTAACGTTTGAATCCAACCCTGGTCCACTGAATCGGTTGTGCAAGTGATGTTGACGAGAACTGAGACACAATGAGAAAAAAAATTGCATGTGGGAATTAAAAGCACATTGGGAGAAGATTATCCTCATTGTAGGCAGTGTTATTTTAATGACACAGTGCAGCCTGCCAAAAAGCTGCCAAATTATCTCATCTTGCAAATCAAAGCTTCGTGAACAAAAGGGGAATCTTTGGAACCTCCAAAATGGGCCTTAATCAAACCCTTAGTCCTCTTCCCGTCTCTCCTCCAGCCAATGCGAGGGTCCCGCCTTGTCAGCCTGCGTGTCCTCAGCGCACGCCATGCTTTTGTCACATAATCACACTTCAGGGAGAATGCACGCTGCACCGAATTACCATCTTGTAATTGCGATCTGTCCGCCGTCGTTGTGAAGCGCTGCCCGATGAGCGTGATGTCGGCCCGGCCGCGTTATCAGAGCTTAGGAAAATGACTATTGATGGGGACGATTTCCTTCACTCATCCTGTCTTCGCCGTTGTCCACGAGTTAGAAACGGTTCGAGAGGTTCTTCAATCACTTTGTACAGCATATGATGTTTGCTGAAGCAGTTCACCACCTTCTCTGTAGGTTCAGGGAGAGAATCCACATCTGGTTGTAGCTTTCAATGCGCAGCACATTTTATTTCACTAATTCACCTCTCTTGTGTCCTCAGATACAGATTTACTGAGCGTGTGAACTGGTAATCAGTTACTAGTGCTATTTATTTTATTATTATTTCAGATAACCAAATTATAATATATTGTTTTCTTAAATCTCTTGGTTAACATTTATTTTAACCAAGTGGAAGTGGAAGTGGCCGATTCACACACCGATGATTAAAAATGAATGAATGAGTATTTATACCTGAAATTACAACGTGAGTTTCGATTGCAGGTTAATATGAAGCACACTAGAAGCAAAGTAAAGGTGAATTTATCAGTCGTAAAAAGTCAAGGATGCTGCGATGCGTTGGGAAACAAAAACCTCAATCTCAGCAACGTCGAGCGGTGAAGCAATTTATTAGAGCCTTTACTCTCTGGGTCTTCTGCAAGATCAACAGCACGCAGAGGTTCTTTGTCTCGCGATGGGTTCCCAGCCGTCTGCGAGTGTGTGTTTGTGTATGTGTTAATAATCTTTGCACAGTGTGTAGGAGTGAGTGTAGTGAGTCGGCGTCAAGGTTTTATGAAATGTTAAAGTTGATTTGTATATTACAAACTACTGATTTCATGCGCTTTATAAGATGTGCAGTCAATGCGTTTCTTTCAATATTTGTATTTTTTGCGTACAAATCCCCCAAAAAGACCAAAAAATGACATTATGCTAATGTGTTCCTTTTCCTTAATAATACTTTCCTTTTAAAACTGGTCATGAATATATACTTTAATTATTCAAAAGGCCAAATCATTTCAGAAAGACAATGTCAAGTAGTTCTTCAGCAAACGTCACTCAAACTGGAGTAAGTAGTGTATTAGTTTTATTCAAAAAATATCTGAAAATGAGATTGTTCACGTACTGTGAGTGCAAAACCAAATATTTACTGTGTGTATTATTTATTTATTATTTACATTTTTTTAGAATTGTGAGGTAATTACTGATTGTGACATTTTGCCTCGATGTTTTCTTCCATCTTTTTATTTTATTAGTATTTTTTGGGCATTGTTTATTCCCATGGTTCCCAGTAGAAAGATAACTGTACATGAAGGGATGGAGATGAGGAATGACACCCAACAACAAGGTTCCCAGGCTGGATTTGAATGTGGGATATTTTATTCAATAATGGCTCCCTGAAGCCCGACTTATCATGTTCCTTTTAACCTTGTGGAGAACAATGGAGATCTATGGCACAGAGAAACAACATTATTTTATTGTCATTGGTCCCTTCGTGAGATTTATTGAAGAGAAGAAAATGAATATGACCCGCTTTGGTGTTTTGTTGTATGCCGTCATCCAAGTTATATACATCGGAAAGAGAACAGTGAAATAACCGTGTTTTAATGTTTTTTTTTAAATTGCTCATTAAATTGTGCAGCCCTGAACCAACAGCCCATTGAGTGCTGGACCTCTGGTGTGATCACAAACCACAGTGTGGAATTCTTCACCAAGTAATAAATAATTCACTGTGCTCCGAGAGCTCATTTATTCTCGTGGCTGCGACGTGGCCGCCTCTGCCGGAGAAAGGCTGAGAGTCGGTACTCCTGAGAAATCACAAGTTGCCTCCGCCACAAGTGGTGCGGTCCGGAGTGCGGAGCCCCCCGGGAGGCGGGCCGTGAGCCGACCACGAGGACGGGGGCTCTGGAGGACTCTGTCCGGCACCTGACGCGCTCCTCTTAGCCGGAGCTGTTTCTCCTTAGATCCCACTTGAAGGCAGGTGATGAAAGTGAACGCTTTCTCAAGTGAAGAGGAGGAATCCATCAAGAATTCACTTAATGTCTAAACGAGAATAAAGCAAAAGCTGCTTTACTATCAACGCTGTTAATTTTCTTCATTTTCAGATGTGCCTTTTTTTTTCTCCTAAAAGCAAGAAGATCCAGCGGTATAAAAGCTCATAATGAAGCTAAAGTGAAGGATGAAAAACCACACAAGGCTGATAGACGACAACTGCATTACAATTCCTTGCACCTTATTAGAGCCGTCCTGCTGAGGAAGCAAAGTGTCTCCCTGATAGACATCATAATGCATACACTTGAGGTTGTTATAATCCCTCTCTAAAGGCTCTCTTAGATTGTTCTCGGCCATGTTTTTCTCCAGCGATGTCCTCTCCATCCATTGCTGCTTTTGCAGTGTTTGTTTACATCTCCGTCGCGCATTGGGACCATCAGTCCCTGTCACTCCGAGGCCTACAGCTTTTGTCCATCAACTCCGATTAGATTTGCAGATGACGATGGGATTTGGGTCTGAGTTTTTGTAAATCTGTGAGAGATTGTTTTTAGTTTAGCAATGATTTTAATGCTCGCCTTATGTTTGATTCAGATATGTTGCTGTAGTCGCGTGCAACCGTGCACTCTAATGTCCATGTAGTGCATCTGTTTATGTCTTTCTCCTCGGTGCCCGTGGCAGCTGTGAGTGGAATCTGCAGTCTGGAACAAACATGGATTTAGAAACATGAACAACTGTATGTAAAAAAAAAAAAATAAGCATGCTAACATACTTTTGTCTAAATGCACGCGTTGCTAACGAAGCTTATAACGCATGCAAAGACTTTCTTAGGAAGGCACTTTTATTATATTACACTATAGTGCAATCCAGCGTTACATCAGTCTTAACAGCCCCGATGTGGTGAAGTGAGTTTGGACTTTAACATGCAACTGACCATTTTATTGCAAATTGATGAGTTGGGCTCATTAGTGAAGCAATGTCCCGACTAGATTTCAATTCAAAGGAAAGGCATTGAAACCGAAGGAGCAGCTGTTCTGTCCTTGTACGCACAATCCATGTAGAACGTGTTTGATATCTTGTTAGCGTGTTTTTACGATTTCAGTAACACAATGGAGGCGTATCTGGAAGATCTGCCCCGATCCCATGTGCTGCTGTGCTCGAGTACATTTCAGACTCGACATGTCGGAGTATACGTCTCTTCGTCGGGCGTATTGTGAGTTGGAATAATTAAGCTGAAGATGATAAAGGCCCAGACATGCAATCACAAAACATTTCTGTCTACAGAGTACATTTCCTTTTGACTCTCTCCCTCGCAAACACCCGACACAAGCAGTTACTCAAAGATGGACACTTATACACTCCCCCGCTCGTTATATTGATCCATGCTTACACAAGTATTAGCACTCACTTAGAATGAGATGCCTGCCTTCAGAAGCACAGAGCAGAAATGCACCCACACGCACTCCGCCAGACGCACACGCACAGTTTCTCACATTGTCAAACATACGACGCGCGCGAACACGCGGCCCTCCGAGGAGGAAAACGCATGCGCCCGCTTCAGGCTGGCAGATTCCTCCCCCTTCGAAGCGGAGCCGCTGATGCATTCATCCCGCGCGTGGGATTCAACAAGGTCCACTCCGTCTCATAAATCATATTAATAATCTTTGGCTTCCCATTGATTTTTTTTTTCTCTTTTTTTCAATGCACCCCAGTGCGTTATTTGATATGTCCAGCCTTTGTCTCAGATTTAATGAACTGCGGAACCACAAACACATACACGCACACACATAGAAAAGGAAAACTCATGAAACTACTTTTCCTTTTAGAAGTCTTTATTCATCTGTGTAGAAAAAAAGACAATAAATGGAACAGCGTTTTGCACCCGTTTTTATGTTTATACATAACATTTTCATTTTTTTATCATCACGTCTGAGGGTGACATTTTTAATGGAAAAAGGATTTCTGCACAGAGTGAAAGAAGGCTTCAGTGCTCTTCAAAACAAATATAAAACAAAAACGAATGCTGCAAAACAATCAAAACAACCCTAGAAAACCCACACTGAGCTCGTCCGATGTTGCTGGCTCACAGTAACACAAGCTGGAAAAAGACAGAGAGCCACTGAGAGTCTCTCCTTACATATCACTTATCCACACTTATCCCCATCCTTCCCTCCTCCACTTTACTCCGTCCTCCTTCAATCTCTGGCTGCTGGTGAGGGTTTTGCTTTGAGGTTTCTCCTCCCACAGGGGATGTCAGCGGGGGCCGTTTCCCGCTCCGTGCAGCGTGCGTTGTGCACGTTTGCCTGTTAAACCGCACAGTGCAGCGGGCGGGCAGCGATTCCCGCGCCCGTTCTGTAGTGGGGGCTAAAGACTGGACGCCATAATTCGAACATGTTTAGGTTTTAGACGAGGTGGAATTTAAATGTTTTTTTTTTTTTTAATAATAACTGTAATGTGTATTTGTTTAACTTTTCCCAATAAAGATTAAGTTGAGAAAAAAATTGGACAACCTAGTAAACCAATGAACTTCCTACTCACAGAATGCATCAAATTAATCAGTTTGAACTTTCAGGCGTTTTAGAATATTATTTTTTCGTTTCACTTTGATTTCAACTCTAAATTGAAATTCCTTGTCAGCAGTTTACTGGCCAAGGTAATGTCGTAAGAATTCTGTGTCTCATCCAATTTTCAGTCAAGTATAAGACTATGAAATACTCAAATTTGGGAATCTGAAGCTGAAGGACATATTTATTTATTTATTTCAGAAAACGACTTGATGAAAATGATGAATTATTTATCTAAATAGTAGCAGATAGATTTTGTTTGAATGGGCTTAACTGACTAATCGTCTTCTCACCTTTTACTTTATTATCTCTAGTTTTACAGCTATTTTGTCAGCGGTTCCAACGTCCTAAAAAATATTAGCTGCTGAAAATGTTCATTTAAGAAGATTGAACCAGACTCTAGATGATAAAGAGTTACTATTATAAGATGGATAATTGGGTTTCTCTCATTTCATTTGCAAAAGTAATTTAATAACATGACCAGACCTTAAAAAAAATTGGGCTTAATTCCGGGTGAGAGGTTTTTAACGGCCGTTCTTCTCAAGCTACTCATTTTTTTGCTACACTTTCTTTACAATCATTTGATTGTCTTGCCATGACTCTCTTCTAGATGTTGTCCTACAAACATTGGTATTTAAATGTGTCCATTTTATGGTACGGGATACAGGAGGCATGCGGTTCACTTGTAATGATCACAGGCAGCTCAAGACGTCAGTCCTCGTAGCAAATGTGCAGCCAGGTATCTGCTGAGTGCACCAGTGGATACGATGGCGTTGAAACTTTTTTTTTCATTTCTTGGATGATGATGTCACGTTATTACAGTCGTCACCCCTCTTCTTTACCTCAGGCTCCCATCTTCGTTTCCTTTTGTCTGTTTTTTTCCCCTCTTGCCGCTGCCTTTGTCACATGCCCTTTTTTTCACTTATCGTCCCTTTTCCCTTCATTTTCTGTCATTGCTCTCTGGCTTAATCCATCACACCTCTCTCAGGGCTTCCATCCTCCCAAAAAACACCCCTCTCCCCATGTCTTACTTTCTATTCTAACCACCGATATATCCATCACCCCCCTCCCCCCCACACACGCTCTCTCTCTCCCTCTCATTAGTCTCCCCATGCTGTGGTCTGTGTCTCCTGTCTCTGTCAGAACTCTTATCACAGCTGTCAGCTCCCTCGGCGAGAACAAAGTCGTCCTCTGCTCACGACACCACAAAAGACACAAGAGAAATAAAAGGAGCCTCCGCCAAAAGAAAAAGAGGCTCAAAGTAGGCAAAAATTAAGAAAGCAGGGGAGTAAACCGGAGGAAAAGAGGGGGCTAGGAACACATCTTTTCATGTCAACCACGATGCATTGTCATCTGTGGGCTATAACAACCATTGATTTCTCTCTCTGTCAAATCTTTTATCTATACAGCACAGAGCTTACAGTTGGTTGGAAGATATGAGAGCTATCTCTATACACATCAAGTGCCTTTTTTCTCATAAATATATCTCCTGCTAAATCAGCTAAGCCTAGGATATCAACCTCAAATAAGTTACTGTCTATTATGAGCTGAGAAGAACAGTAGGTTTGAAAGACACTGAGATGTCCAAAAGTGATAACGTAACCATTTATAACTACAAGAAGCCCGAAAGAAGGACCCACTGTATAATGCACTATACAGCAGTAGAGTATAGTAGGACTGTTACGTCTGTAACTCAATAGCAATGTCCAATCAACACAGCTGAAATAAGTCTTTTCTACCTAGCAAACCAATCATAATTGAACCAGCAGAGGCACAGAGGGTACTTTGGAAACCAAGGACAATATGACCACCAGCCAACGGGTCGTCATCATAGAAATGGCGCCCGGCATTCGTGGCTCAGATAGTGTGTCGCCGTATCATCACGTGTAGACATAATCAATGTCAGGGACGCCGCCCTCTCTGTAGCCACGGTTGGTACCGTAAGTGGCGTGATGGTGGCTGGTTTGGCTGAGGATGGTGCCATTGAGGCTCCCGGCTCCGTGGCTGCTCCGGTACGTCCCGTTAGCTTGGGCGGTAGATGAAGAAGAGGGGAAAATGGTGTGAATGTAGGTGACATCCTCCAGCTTAGGCTGCAGGGCCTGATGGGCCATAGCTGTCATCTGAAACCCTGCAGGCGGGGCCCTGATCTCTAAGATGGAAGTGTCTTTCTTGGTGCCCGACTCTACATAGTCGTCGTACTGTTTCCCGCCCCGGCCCCTGCTGTATGCACCCGTGTCCCCGGACACGTAACTTGTTCTCTGTCCGTACCAGCAGAAAATGCCAAAGATTAACAGCAGGCTTACAACTGCCGTGGCACCCCCTATGATCCCAGCCAATGGCAGGGCTGTTAGTTCAGAGTCCTGTCCCTCTTTGTCTGAACCCTCCCCCCCTGCGCTGACCAGAGCGTCTCCAGTTTCTATCTGAGCACAGGCCGGGGCCGAGTCTTTGCTGTCTGTGTCCGTGCTACTAACTCGCGATGAACCCATGCTGGAACCCCCAAAGGAGGACTCCTGTCGTAGTGGCAGCAGACAGATGAGGTAATGGGAGCGTGGGCTGAGGTGTTCGAGTGTGTACTGCCTCCAGTCTCCAGGCACTAGAGTCTCTGTTATGGAGCCAAGAGCCGCACTGCTACCCAGCCTCAGCCACGACAAGCGGAAGGAGGGTGCCGACTGTGGGCACAGCCAGCTCACCAGTACACTGTCCGCAGAGAGAGGCTTTACAGTCAGCTCCAGGGCCTCTCCAGACACGTGGCCCCCCTCACCGGGAGGCAAAGGCATTACAAGGCCCGGCCGCTTGGCTCGCAGGGTGAAGAGGGAACCTTTTGTCGGGACCAGCAGGGAGGTGCTGGTGGTGCTGCCATGGGGAACGGAATCCACTGCTTGGTCCCCTCCAACACGTTCTTCACCTCCTCCTCCATCTCCATCTTTTTCTGCTGGGTTCATCCCCATTCCAGTACTGGGACCAGCAGCAGGGCCTTCACACTGATCCATCAGGGAGGTTAGTTCTTTGAGGGCCTGTCCCCTTACAGACTCGGGCCCCTGACAGGTCAGACCCCTGACTGTCACCGCTGCCCCACGGGTGTGAAGCCATGCGTGGAGCCAGCGAAGGTTGCAGCCACAGTACCAGGGGTTTCCTCGCAGCAGTAGCATCTCCAGGCTTTCTGTGTCCTTCAGAAGTCCCCGTGGGATAGTGGTCAGATTGTTTCCCGACAGGTCCAGCCTCTGTAGCCGCCGCATCCCATCCAGCGCCCCCCGTGGTATGTGAGTCATTCCGTTGTCTTGCAGGTGAAGTCGCACAAGGTGAGCGGATGGTAGGTAAACCGGCGGGGACTGCAGCGCGTTCCTGACCAGCGACAGCTCAGTCAGGTTGGAGAGACGCGTGAAGGTGTCGTCTGCAATGCGCGTGTTGGCCAGCAGGTTCCCATCGAGGACCAGGCGTCGCAGGGAGGAGAGCCCGCGGAAGGCATGCGTGGGGATGGTGCTGATTCTATTGTCGTCCAGTCGTAACTCTTCCAAGGAGGCCGGCAGACCCGCTGGGATGCTCGATAGGTGGTTCCGAGACAGAAACAGTAGTCGGAGCCGCGGAGTCCCGGAAAAAGCTCGCTCCTGGATGCTAACTGTGGATATAGAGTTGTCATCCAGGTGCAAACGTTCCAGTAGTGGTAGTTTGGCCAGAGCTGATCTCGGTAACGTTCGTATGTTATTATCCTGCAGATGGAGCTCCCGTAACGAAGGCGGGAGGTGTATAGGGAATTCATCCAACTGGTTGGCGTACAGGTAAATCACTCGTATGGAAGTGCTGCGTTCCAGCGAGGGAGGCAGGCCAGCGTTACTCAGACGGTTGCTCTGCAAGTAGAGGATGGCGGCCATTAACGGTAGGAGGAATGATACTGAGGCCACGGTCGTTGCAGTAGACAAAACCCTCATCGCAGCGGCACACTGAGGGACAAACAATGCCCTCATCTCCCTCGCCCGTCTCCATGGCGATTGCCGCTGCCGCCAGTTCCAGCACCTCAGCCAATAAGGTGAGGCACAGGAGGAGCAGGAAGAGCCAATCGCGGAGCTCGGCGATACTGTCAGCTGCCATGTTGGTCCTCGGCTCCTAATTGAGAAAGACAAAAATTGGATTAAAACAACTACAAAGGCTTCAACTCAGTGATACTAAATCAAAGTCACTTTTACATTTGTAGGAGAGTAGAAAGAGTGGAGGCAAAAGAAGAAACAGTGCTGGAAAAAACACACTGAATTGTAAACGACTAAACTGTAGTGTAATTTCTAACTGCTGTTAAAAGTTATGTTTTTATTTCTAGTGCAGAAGATTAATGGGATCCGACATACTTTATTGGGGCTGTCCAGTATTAAATGGGTCAGACCAACCAAGCAGAAGACAAAGGGACATTTAGAGGCAGAGAGGATGGAGTGAGCAGGCGAGGAAGATTACAAGAATTGCTAAAAGGATGACAAAGATGGAGAAAATGGGACAGTCACATTTTTTCCGGGAGATTAACTGAATTGGAGTGAGTGACATGAATCTAAAATGGATGAGAAATCGGGGAGAAGTAAATCAGATTAATTCCCCACGGCGTTGGTTCCCCACCAGAAGCGGGGGACTTGTTGTCACTGAGTGTATATCTGACCTTCCAATGACATTATAAAGAGTAAATGTAAATGAAGGAATAAAAAAATAACAATTCCACAGGTTCATAACTGTATATTCAGAACAGAACTAAAACCCAAGCCAGAAATGCCCACACAAAGTAAATACCAAAGACAGAAGTATATAGTAGAAGGATACAGAACAGAGCCTCATTACAGCTAATGTGTATAATGCATGTTTTCTTTTGGTTGTTATTGTCTGTGATATTTCTGTAAATTATGTTTTAGCAAGATATTTTACAGATAAGCATTCTTCTGCTACATTAATACGTTCCCTGGTCTGTGTTTTATGACACGTCTCCTAGTGACACCGACATCAATAACATGAATTTACAATTCAGATCAAATCATCGCTGTGCTTTCACATCACACTATTTATAGAATATGAATAATATACAGTAGTGAAAGTTTACAGTGAAATTCCTTTCTTTTGCCTCAGGCGAGAAAATGTGCCCTGATGTGAAAAGCCTGACATGATTTGACAGCGTATTTGATAAACAAATGCTCTAAAGGCAAAGTCCCCCCCCAACCCCCAACCCCCAACCCAGCCCCCGCCCCACACACGCATGTGTGTGTGTGTGTGTTCGCATATGAACTGACTGATAAATGCAAAATGGCCCTTTGGCTGCAGTCAAAATCCATGCAAAGCAAACAAGAGATGGCAACAATAGAGGAGATGGAGGGGAGGTGGTGGGGGAGGCGGGGGTGGGGGGGCGAGGAGACAGATGGAGAGTTGGACAGTCAGTGAGTGGAGGAGAGAGGAAATGAGTTTCTGGCAGTGAAGTCTCACATCCGTATCAGCTGAGTTTGCTCAAAAAGAGGAGTGGTGTTGTTTTTGCATGTATGACGTAAAAAAAAATTGCTGGGTTTTTGTACCTGTTTATGGTTGTATGTGCCTGTGTGTGTGTGTGTGTGTGAGAGAGTAAGAGAACTTCATCAACAGCCATCAGCCCCTGTCTCAGCGTTGGACTAGACTTTATTTTTCTCTTTACGTAATGATATTTTTAGCTGAAATCTCACTACTTGCCAGCATTTGATAAATCGTACGCACATAAGTGGGAGTGTCAAGGTAGGAGCTGAGAACATATTGGGAATGCTTCATGAATACCAACGAGCATATGCTCTGGTGCTTCACCAACCTCGCTTCCCTTTTCACAAACACCTCTTGGCACAAACCTGTGTGAGTGTTTCTGCCAACGTGCCAAGGTTTCCTATCGACGCGTCCTCCTAACGATCCTTAGATGTTCTGTCTTCTCTGCCTCCCCGCCTCGCTCTCTCCCAACTGTCTCTCTCCCTCGTGGCGCTCGGCCCTCTGCTGTGTCTTTCACGCCAGCCACCTTTCCCATCCGACCCCCCCCGCCAACTTCATAATCTTTCATTATATCCACGGTCAGGTTTGTTTACAGAAGTGTCCGTGCAGTCACCCTCCTCCTCCTCCTCCACCTCCTCCTCCTCCCCTTCCCTCCCCCGTCTCTTTTTCTCTGACTAATCCTCTTTTATCGTTTCCTCTCCAGTCTTCTGTTGATTCCTGCACACTGAGATTGGATCAATCAGCTCTCCGGTTCAGACCTCCTCTCCCCGTTTCCCTCATGGCGACTTACTTCCCCTTTTTCATTTCGATGCAGCAGACCCCCTACTTCTTGTTTTTTCCCCACCTTCTCTTTCTCGGTCCCTCTTGTCCTCAGCTTTCTCGCCTCCGCATTCGCCTTCCTCTCCCTTTGCACCCCCCCCCCCCCCCCCCACCACCCCCCAAAGGTTTAATAATTTTTTGAAATAAAAACCCTTGTGTGAACAAGAAAAACACAGTGTGTGTGTGTGGTGTGTGGTGAAAGACAGATGTAAGTGTGGCGTTGTTCATCGCGGTGTGTGTGTGTGTGTGTGTGTGTGTGAGGTCTGATCGACCCAGGGTGTGATAGCAGACGATCGCTAACCTGCTCAGTCTCGGTGCCTTTTTACGTCAGCCGCTGCTTTGTTTTTTCCGTGTAGCCGGGCTTTGTGGAGAGGGCTGATGGGTGTGTTTGTTCGACGTGGCTGTGGATCTCTGTGTGTCAGCGCGGCGTCCTGATCTCCTTTGAGTCGTTCACAAGTAGAGCCTCGCTCCTCGGGGCCGTTGAATCTTCCTCAGCTTGGGTGAATGATGATCGGGATGATGATAGCCTGTACTCCAGGGCTGCGCAAGTAGCAACACCAGCATGGCTCAAGGCCGCCTCGGCACCCGCATTTGTGTGTTGCGTTTGTGTGTGTCCTACTGCCAAGCTCTCTCTCTCTCTCTCTCTCTCTCTCGGTGTGAGGGGCTTTTAGGCCTGCCAACTCAAGTCATCTTCAGCGGGCATCCAGGGGCCTAATTCTGAACCCACGCCCAAATGCTACAGTTGGGCAGACAGTCAGAAGATGGTTCAAGGGCTCAAGGGTCCTTCTTCGAAGTCAAGAGCAATCCTGGATCCTCGGTCAAGCAGTGGGTCTTGCGAAAGTAGCTCAGCGCCGTGCTACACGTGCTTATAATAGGTGGTGGTTTTTAATTAATGAGCAGCAAGCTGAGAATAAGTGGGATTTCCACAGCTCAGATCCACGAGTCCTCACGATTATTAGTTGAATTAGAACAATTGTACAACATCAATTTCACAGTTCGGTGGTGGTAACGAGTATGTTTGAGGCTGAGACGGACAGCTCGGACCGGCGCGGGCTGAAAGAGTCGGGTTCGGAGGTCTTTTTTTTTCTCCTTCTCAGTTTCTGCCTCGCTCTCCTCTGTTAAATGTTTAATGGTTTCCTTTTCGGTTCACACGGATGATCTTCAGACGCTGTGCGTAGTTGGCTCCGAGCGGCGCTGGGATCGCGTGGCTCGCTGTGAGTTCCCCCACAGGTGAGCAGAGATGGGCCGCTGTCAAGAGTCCTCAAGGTAGACTTCACCGCTGTTTCTCCTCAGCAGGACACCAGGCCGAGTGTCAGTGAGCGCCACCCTGAAAGGAGAAAGCAGCTCAGTTTGAATATGTTTTACCTTTAACTGGGTGTTTGAGAAATGTAGAAAACGTGGAAAATCCTTCTTTGCCAAAAACAGTATGTAACACATCAGAAAATAGAAAAACCACGCAGCTCCCTTTTGGACCCAATTCAATAGCTTTTATTATGTAGTGAGAAATTTTTTTGAAGCAAGAATAATACAAAATATTGGCTGAATAATTCTGTAATTCCTTCACATGCGTCATGCAACTTGTATATTTCAACTTAAAAAAATATGAAAGTGTTAGCGCTAGTTTTTGTCTTTTACACGTGTTTTTCTAGAATAAATAAGAATAAGGTGATTTTATGGAGCTGCACAGATGAAATGCTTTCTTCTTTTTTTAAATACCAACTGTCTCTAAGTGACGCCAAGATGTACTTTTAGATTTCAATGTTGGCACAGTATGAAATACTAAAAGGTACAGGCTAAATAATTATCCCCATCAGAACAGTTATGCCTTTTGAAACTAAGTACCTCGTGAAAATACTTCCTGAAGGTCAGAGCTCCATATGCGCGACTTTAAGCTCCCAACGGACACAAAACTCCCTTTATGGGTTTTTTATGGCGTTTTTTTTCTTCTTCAAACAAAGCTTTTGAGCTTTCATTAACCACCACGCGTTAAGTGCCTGTATGTTGTGCTCAGAATGAAAGCTCCAGTGAAAACTGCCTTTACAAATGTAAGGTTTTCCTTCATTAACTGCTCCGCTGCTCGCGTTCGCCTGTTCACTTCATCCCGGAGTAAGTAGACTGACTGCACAGCCAACTGGGAAATTATCATGCACTTTGCTTAAACACAAATAGAGACAAATAAAGACGTCCTCATTTTCATTTCCAAAGGACGCCTGGTGCAGCCGAGAGGAAGTTGGTCTGCAGCTTCATGTTTGTGCCTGGAGGTTTCCTTAAAAATCAGCCGTGCATCGTACGCCCTAAACTCTGAGCGTCTGTCTGTATTTGAGCTTTGCTGTTTTAAGCGCTTCCACAAAATGGAAGGCATGCGCTGAATTAGGTGACCAGTTTAGGAGGGCTACTGGTGTGGGATGAAGTTGTGCAGTGTGCCGTGAGATAAATTGTCCTTTTTAATCAAACCGCTGCAGACCGACATCCGGTTTGTGGCATAGTAAACTGATTTATATGTGCAGAGTGCGGCGCGATGGGAGAGAATGCTAAACATTGTTTGCAAAATGCATCGACTTTGTGATTGGCATTTAAGGGTAAATGAGATAATGGTTTGTTCAAGGACAGTATGCAGGTATACAGAGCTGGATGGTTGGTGCTGCAGGAGCATAATAAATTGGTTCACCCTTTTTACTCCATTCCTTTGGATTGATGTCTAAGACTAATAAAAAAATCCTCTCATGTTGGTATTTTGGAAGGCAAGAGTTTTAAGTGGCTCGCGAAGTCAAATTATAATTCAAATGAAGTTTTTTAATTGGATGTCATCAGTCACTTATTAAAAGCAGATGTCGCCATTAATGACACTAACTGACTGTTTTTTTTTTTTAGCCCCCGTAATTGGTTGCAATGTCTGGTCCAGAACCAGCGCTGCACTCGGCACTGATCTTTGCCTACCGCGGGCGAAACGTCCGCCCGCATCGGACAAGATGTGAATATTGAGCATCAGCAGCATTTCAACAGCTCCCTGCCGTTGCCCATTAGGCATCAATACGAGGAGCTCTGTCTGTGCAATGTCAAGGCTGTCCTTAAAACTTTTCCTGATGGATTTTGAGCTAGGCCCAGCTATGGGGGAGAGAGGGATGAGACAAAGGAAATGGGGGAGCATTAGGGAGCACGTATTAGAGCAGCGAGTGAGGAGACAAAAAGCCAGACTCTCATCATTTAGGGGAGGAGAAGAAGATGTCTGTCGGAGCTCGAGGAAGGTCACAGAAAAGGTACAGAAAGTTCTTCTCTTCTGTTGGTCGTAGCCGTGTTTCGGCAAAAAAACTTTAAAAATGGAATATCTCCCTTATTTATTGTATTATATTTCTCCAACATCTGAATAAAGCCGTTAACCTCCAATAATGAGATTCAAAAAGCCGTTAATGGTGGACGGATAAACCTTGACATTGAGACAGCAACCATTTTATGGATTGCAAAGCGTTTGAGCTTCTTGAGTTTATTTCCCCTTTTTTCCACAAATTTCATGACTGTGATGTTAAAAGTTTAAAAATGTAAGCTCATTAGAATTTATAAAATAACACAATGGAGTGTCCTAGCAGTGCCCTGATTCACTTTTAAATTCAGACAGCGTACATGAAAGCTAAAGGATCTTCAATGTGAGGTCAACGACTGTCTGACATGAAGGTTCATTAGAATAAATACAACACAAATGACAACACACCAGTGCTGAAACCTTTCGGGTCAATGAATTAAGTAGTTTAACAAAAAATTCTAACAACTAAATAACTCCAGCAATCAGAAAAATTGCAGAACAACTAATGGCCTGATTTTCATGAAGGCATTGAAGCCCGGGTCAAATAATCATTATGGAGCGTATCCATAACACGTGTGAGATACACGCGTTATTTTTCAGTTCTGGAAAAGGTCCGGTGGAGGTGTTTGCTCTTATTTAATCATTTAAACACAAATGTCCAATGGTTTCCGCTTCTATTAAATACCGCTATTATGTTGCAAACAGAAAATATCTGTCTTTTGGACCATTGGTGAGACCAAACTATCAATTTAAATGTAACCTTTATAGTCTTGATGAGGATTTTTTTTCATTCTTGTCTGCTGTTCAATTATTCAATCAAATTAAATTGATTCAACAATGTTGGAAGTTATCGTTTGCATTACTTGTATTTGTCCAGAATTAAATCTCAGGCGTTAACCAGCACGTGCTCAGGCCTCAGTCCACTGCTTTTTTGTTTTGTTTAAAATGTACTTAATTAATGTTCTGTATCCTTACAGAGTGGAACCACAGTCAAATGCGTAACTGTTCTCTGGTAACATAAATTCATTAAGAAAAATAGTCTTGAGAAATGCCGGTAAATGACCTGCGCGGATGTAAATCAGTTCGTGTTTGAAGCAAAGGAGTAAAATCATCAATCATGCTTCTCAGTAATGAGTGTACCTCTGTGTTAGCAATTCCCCTTCAAAACAATTCCTGCATATTATTTTTCCTTTCTACTTTGTAACAATTCTCACACCACTAATGAGCAAGAAATGAAGAGAGCCCGTCCCACTCCGGAGCAGGTGACCCATTTAGTGTCGAGGCCGTAAACATTCCCGACTGATTCTTCACTGCGTCTTTCCTGTCGTACTTGTGTTCTGGTCCCCCCCCCCACCCTCCGTCTCCCGCAAAGCAGAGAACGTCCCGTTCTCGGCCGGGGCGGAAATCTCGGCTCTCTCGTGAGTCAGTCAATCACAACTTTGTAGCCTACAGGCGACACGCGACTCCTCTGTGGAAATGCTCTCTCGCCGCTTAGTTTTCTTCTCTTTGCTTTGTGCTGTAACGATCAGACATTAGCATCTTTTTTTCTTTGCTTCGCGGGACGGTATGGAAGGCTGGTGATGCCAGCTGAATAAACTGAGAGCACGCCGAGATGTACAAGAACAAATAACACATTTGCACGTGAGCTCAGGGCTGCAGCATAAACGGCTCGATATGTGTTTCAGAAAAGTGTACAGATGTCTAAATATGTGCACGTGCTTAAAGATGTGAAGGTAATGCATGAACAGAAGTACGGCCAGATCATTCATCGTGTGCGCATTGTTAGAGGTCACCTGGTATAGACTATAGATGCATAGTCTGATACAACAGGTGTGACTACAAGAATACGCTTCCTTTGACATTAAGTCGACGACGATGCCTCTGGTAAGAGAATAAAAACAATTGTGTAGTTGATTCTTCCTGCAGTTTTGATAAAAAATATACATTTTAGCTTTAACTTGGTTGACGTCTTCTACATTGTAACGGGTGGCAGCAGGAAATTGACGATATCAAATCTCCTTTTTCATCCCCCCCTTTGTTCCGTCAGGCTGTTCAGAATAATTTGGAAAAATGGAAAGCAAAGAAAAGTGACAGCTGTGCTACTTGGCAGAGTGCTCGCACCGTGCACTATAGGGAGCAAGGAGATAGGAAGCGAGGGAGTAGGAGCTAGGGATTAATAGTTGTGGAGCTGGGGACCAAAGTCTGAGTACTTTGTAATCATGTGGCTGCCTAACCCCGGCGTTAGCGAGGTTGATGAGCAGGCGTCCCTGCTGACACTCTCTCTCTCTCTACATCCACTGAATATTAATACGGAGGAGAGAACTCCTCTGGGCCCCATTGTCAGCCCGCTATTGTTCTCTGCTGGCCTCTCTGCGAGTGTGCATGTGTGCGTTTAGTGTCGGTGCGTAACTTGGTGTCGACTTGGTGCGCTTATGCATATTATGCCCGTATCTGCCTGTGTGTGTGTGTGTGTGTGTGTCTGCGTGCGTCGGCTGCAGCAGAGCAGCAGTTAAAGCGGCAGTGAGGGAGATGAGGGGCGTGTTCACGGCCCGCCGCGGCCCCCAAGACAACTGGCCTGAGAACACTTGGACCCGCCGTCGGGGGCCAACATGGGCAATTATTTCACCTAGAGGCGCTATCTGTAAAATGAACACTCTCATTAAAACGGCCGCGTGTGTGCTCGGGTGTATTCATGCAAATGTCTGTGTGTGTGTGTGTGTGTGTGCGCGTGTGCGTGCATTTGCTGGTGAGTCGTTTCAGAGGCCCGGCAAATACATAGCAGCACAAATGCTTGTCTTTCAATCAAAGCGTAATGTGTTGTTTATGATGTTTGACTTTGGGTGTGTGCTCATGCATGTGCGTGTTTACACATTTCTTGTGTGTTTGCGAGCACATCTGTGAGCGTGCGTGTGTGTGTGTGTGAAACTGTGTTTGTGTGCGTATGTATCCGTATGGATTTATGCTTGTGTGAGTGTGACTGTTTAACTACGCCGCACACGTAACTTCCCCATCTCTGCCTCGCTGTTTCT